AAAGGAGCCCTCAAATTTTACTTGAATTTTCAGAGCAACGGAATTATTTATTAAAAAACAACAACAATTAACAAAGTTTATTAAAAAGAAAAAGCTAAAAATAAATCCTCCTTCCTCCTTTGGGCCAAGCCCAGCCCAAAGTCACCCTCTCCTCCCTCTCTTTCCCTCCTCTCCCGGGCCTCTCCACCTCCTCCCGGCCCACCTCTTCCCTCCCCCTCCCGGCCCAGCTCCCTCCCCTCCCCTCTCTCTCCCAGGCCTGCCTCTCCCTCCTCTCTTCCTGGGCCGCCTCCGGGCCCAAGCAGAGCGGCGCCCTCCCGCCCGTGCCGCGCACGTGCGTGCACTGACGGCGCGCCCGCATGGGTCCCACCCCCGGGTCGTCGTCGTCCTCCCGCCCGGCCTCCTTCCTTTCTCTCTCCCATGCAAACCCTAGTGCCAATCCTCCCCAAAATCCACACGATTCAAACCGGGGTTTCCGAAATTGATTAGGGGGTTTTAATCCCCATTCCTTCCTCTTCAATTGCCCCTAATTTTCCCCTTGAATAGCGCCTTAAATCGCCGGGAACGGACGCGCCAACCCCGGCCACCTTCCATGGCCGCCGGCCGAGTTTTCCGCCGCCGTTCCCCGCTCCTCCCATGGCCGGCTCCTTCCCTTTGCCTATAAAATGGAACCCCCTCGCTACGTTCTCTCGTTTTAGCCCCTTCCCGAGCTCCCCTGTGGCCACACCACCTCTCCCCGCCTCCTCCTTCTCTTTCCTCGGCGCCGGCTACCCTCCAGCCGCATGTGCCGCCTCGCCCGTGCGGCGGCTGACGTCACCACCACCTTCCTCGGCCTCGCAGGTGTCCCCTCTACGCCGGCCTGCCCTCCGTTTCGCACGGGGACCATCGGAGACACGTCCTCGCTGGTGTACAGTGGCATTGCCGCCACTGTACCACCTCCAGACGCCTGTGCCGCTTTGCCAGAGTGTCGGCTTCCATCGTCGCTGCCTCTCCCGGCACAGCAGCGCCATCCTCTTCCCCGGCCAGGCCACGGCGTCGCTCGAATTTTAACGGAATGTTGTCGCCCGCGCCGGTCTCGCCCTCCGCCTCGCCGGAGTTCCTCCGGCAGCCCCTTCCGCCGTGCCCGTGCGTCAGCCGGCGCTGCCGTCCCCTCCCTCGGCAAGGTGACGTAGCCTTCCACCTCATCCACTCCTCGGTTTCGCCCAGAAGCCGCCGCACATCGCCGCGAACCTCTCCATCCGCCTAGCCGCAATTTCCCCGGTCGGCCCTTCCTCCACCCATGCGCCGTCGGCCGCACCACCACCACCTTCAGAATCGCAGCGGCAAGGTCATCCTCGGCATCGCCTTCCCTCCATCCCAACCCCTCCACTGTCCGTCGTCGTCGTCACCGTTCGTCCTCGACGTCGACGTCCCGTCGGTCGCCCGGCACATCGTCTCGCGGCGCCGCCTCCGTCGTCGGATTCGCAACGGCGTGTTCCACGCCGTCCTCGTCTCCGTCCAGCCACTGCCGGCTGCCCACATCGCCTCCTCGCTGGCCCCGGTCGTCATCGTCGCCGTCCTCCCGTCGTTCCCGGTCGCCGTGGCGTTCGTCCCTCCGTCAAGCCGTTCTCGTTCGTCGTCCTCGCTCCGTCAAGTGCCGCAGCCCCGTCATCGTCTTCGTCCTCGGCTCCGCGTCGCCAAGCCTTGTGCCGGCCGCGTCTCGCCTTCATCCAAGGATCGCCGCCGAAGTCGTCTTCTCGCCGTTCGTCTCAGCCGCGCCCGTTCGTTGTCGTCGTTCCCACGCCTCGTCGCGTGGTGGTAAGGATCTGTCCTCTCACTGCCCCGTCCTCGTCCTTTCGGTGTCGCCCATGCCCGTTGTGCGGTTGTCGACCCCGGTACCTGTGTACCGGTGTCGGTAGTCATTCGCTTGTGTGTGTGGTGACCGTGTTAGTGTGCACGCTTGGTAGCCATGTGGTTTCCACGTGTGCAGCCCGCGTGGTGTCTAGTGGAGTCCGTTTGTCGGCCACTCGCCTCGGTTGACACACGGGGTCCGCTTCTGTCGACCCGTGGACCGTCTCTGTGTACCCGGTCCACCGTGGTCCCTTAGGTTGACATGTGGGGTCCGCATGTCAACGGCGCAGCCTTCCTGTCTTTTCCAGGCTAGCGCTTACACATGTTTTACAGTTGCAAAACCTAATTATAATAATCCGCAAATCTCCATATAACATCATTAAACTTCGGATGACCATGTCTTGGTCATACGAACTCTGAATCGACCCGTTCAAGTCTCCTAATGTTTGTTATAACCTAAAGAACCCTGCGCTTTCTTTTTATGTATTGTTATTGCTTCTTTATAGGCTTGTAGCTTTGCTTGTGTGCTTCGCGTAGCTTCTGTCGTTCCGGAGGTTCTCGAAGCGTGGGTCGCGGTCGTCGCTGAAGGTTCGGAAGGCCGTTGTCTCTGAACAAGGCAAGTCACATCATCCTTGAGCATATTGAATCCCAGTTTATAGAATTATTTTGATTTAAATTAATGCATTGTCGCTTTATTTAAATTCCCGCGTTATCACTGATTTATTTAGCCATGCCTATTTACCTTTGTTATGACCTTATTATTATTGCTATTGTTATTATTACCTTGTTCACCCTAGGATAAACAAAACCCCAACTAGTGGGTACTCTATTCATGGTTCCACTAGTATGAATTTAGGTAGATGCTTCGCTGATTAATTATGCAACATTAGGTGGTTTTATAACTTCAGACTTTGAGAATTCTCATATCATTTGGACAGTATGGAATGGCTGGCTTATGTTGGAATTGGACACACACCTCCCCTTCTTTTCAAAACCCCCAAAACGGTTTTAGGCTGGGCTCGAGGTGCGTGGTTGGGTTTTGTTAGTCGTACCTCGGGTACTATAAGGATTAAGCTCGGGCCTCTGTTGCAAAGCACTACCGTACTTCCACATGTCTAGTGGGTCAGGCTTAGTTTGTGGCTCAATCTGGTTATAAACAAAAGTACACGGATGGAGATGGACGAAGTCGAGGGTCGATGGACATCTCTAGGACAAATGAAGGCTACACGAGCTGCGGCCCGGTAGTCGAGATGTCATGGCACAGGGCTGGTGTCCTGCTGCTAGGGGCTCAATCCTGCCTGCCTGTCCCAGAGGTTCCGGCCGTAGGCGGGGTTGGGTCGGTACTCTTGTCTAGGGCTAGGATGGGTTGGAAACTATGTCACGTCTTCCATCCGTATACCGTGGTGGTATGTGGCACGTGGTTACACGTGAGGAAGATGTGTCTTGTGGGTAAAGATGTACACCTCTGATCAGAGTATAACCTATTCGAATAGCCGCGCCCTCGGTTATGGGCATGCCTAGCAATGTACCCAAGTTAGCGTTTTAATTCTTAAAACCTGCTTAACAACTAAAATGTGGAATGGTTGGCCTGGGTTGGCTTGGGACGAGCTGGGACCCAGGGTCGGGTTACAAGTTCGGTCTGAATCATCGTAGGCCTTGGGTTAAGGCAGGTTCGTGAGGGTTCCCGGCCTTGATTAATAACACTCCGTAGCTCTAGGATCATCTTTATAAAATGGCTTTGGGCAACTAAGTGACTTTTAAAAGCTGTTTACTGCAAAACTTAACCCCTATATTATTACCCCTTGTACCCCCTTGCATTAATCATGCATCTGCCGGTGTGGCTTGCTGAGTACTGTGGTTGTACTCATTCTTGCTCAATCTTTCCCCCCCTTCAGTAAGAGAAGCTTTGGAGAAGAAGTCTTAGGTGGAGTCCTGGCTTATACCCCAGTTGAGCGCCTGTGAAGATAGAGCCGTAGGCCCGCTAGTTCGCTGCTATTTATTTTTGATTGTCAGGCCTTAAGTGCCTTTGTAATAATGTAAATATTATCGATATAATAAAGATGTGCCTTTTGTATCATCCCCAGTTGAGCGCCTGTGAAGATGGAGCCGTAGGCCCGCTAGTCCGCTGCTATTTATTTTTGATTGTCAGGCCTTAAGTGCCTTTGTAATAATGTAAATATTATCGATATAATAAAGATGTGCCTTTTGTATCATGTTTCTGTGGTGTACACCGGCTTTTCCTGGGACGGGGATTAATACACTAGTGTTCGGGAAAATGTATTTTTCTCGGTCGCGACAAGTACTCCGATACCACTCTATATTAAGATATTAAAACTGATAGAATATATCAAACAGAAGTCTAATACACTTTATTGCAACAAGATCTTAATATAAATGACAGATTTAGCATATCAATTAAGTATATATAACATAAAGCTAAATCAGGTAAGATCAGCTAAAACCCCGATACTATCTCTCTCGATGATCATAAAATAAGCCAGATATCATAATTATAAATACTACTTAATAGATCGAACTCAACCGATGCAGCATTAAGCATAAAGACAAGTATGAGATCTAGGCAGGATGATGAAAACCTACAAGAGATGGTAGATACATGATATAATCTAGATTAATAACAAAACATAATGTCACGTCCTGATAAATTCATTCCGAAATAAAATTTCATTTTCTAAAAGGAATAATAGAATTAATTAAAATTCGAAAAGAAATTGGCAAACACTAAAATACGTACAAGAAAAATTCAAATGTGGCCCGGAGAATTTTTGTTAAATTCTCCTTGGTCTAAAAAGAGCCCTCAAATTTTACTTGAATTTTCAGAGCACCGAAAATAATTATTAAGCAACAAAAACAATTATCAAAGTTTATTAAAAAGAAAAACCTAAAAATAACCCTCTCTTTCCCTTTGGGCCAAGTTTGGCCCAAATTCCTCTCTCTCTCTCTCTCGGCCCGCGGCCGAAGTCTCCCTCTCCTCCCTCTCTTTCTCTCCCTCTCTTTCTCTCCCTCTCCTTCTCTCCCTCCTTTTCTTGGGCTCCCCTCTCCCTCGGCCCAGCTTCCTCCTCCCTCCTCTCCTCCTGGGCCGGCCGCTCGGCCCAAGCCGCGCCCCTGCCCGAGCCGCCCCTCCCTCCCGCGTGCACGCGCGTCACACGCGCGCTGAGCGCGCGCCTGGCCGCGCGGGGCCCACGCGCCAGGCCGGCCGTCGTCTTCTTCCTCCTCCCGCTCAGTCTCCTCTCCCTCTCCGGGAAAACCTAGCACCATTGCTCCCCCAAATCCGCCCCGATTCCAACCGTTCTTTCCAAATTAATTGGGGGGTTTTAATCCCCATTGAATCCTCTTCAATTCCCCCCAATTTCCCCCCTTGAATGGCGCCCCCAATCGTCGGGAACGCCCGCGTTTTCTCCGGCCGCCTTCCATTGCCGCCGGCCGTGGTTCCCGCCGCCGTTCCCGCTCCTCCCGTGGCCGGCTCCCTCCCCCATCCCATAAAATATGATCCTCATCCTCCGTTCTATCGTTTTAACCCCATCCCGAGCCTCCCCGTGGTCCCTAGCCATCTCCCCGCCGTCCTCCTCTCTCTCCCGTGCCGCCGGCCGCCTCCAGCCGCCTCTCCCTCCTCGCCGGAGCGTCGTCCGGTCGCGCCGTCGCCTCCTACAACATCGCAGCTGCCTCCTCTTTCCCGGCTTCGCCTCCGTTTCGTGGGGAAATCACCGGAGACGCGTCCTCGCCGACGACTAGTGGTGTCGCCACCACTCCACCGGCTCCAGCCATCCCTGCCGCCTCGCCTGAGCGCCGGCCGACGTCGCTGCCACCTCTGTCGGTGCGGTAGTGCCATCCTCTTCTCCGGCCCGGCTGCGGCGTCGCCCGAAGTTCGCCGGAACGCCGCCGCCGCGCCAACCACCCATTCCTCCTCGTCGGCTCGTCGCCCCGCTGCACCACCACCTTCACCAACATCGCAGCGGCGTGTTCCACGCCGTCCCCTCCTCCGCGCAGCCGCTGCTGGCTGCCATCGTCGCTTCCTCGTCACCGTTCGTCCTCGCCGATCGACGTCCCATCGGTCGCCTGGCTCATCGTCTCGCGGCGCCGCCTCCGTCATCGTCATCGCAGCGGCGTGTTCCACGTCGTCCCCGTCTCCGTGCAGCCACTGCTGGCTGTCCCTCGTCGCCCCCTCGCCGGCCCCGGTCGTCGTCGTCCTCGTCCTCTCGTCGTTCCCGATCGTCGTGGCGTTCGTCCCTCCGTCAAGCCGTTCTCGTTCGTCGTCCTCGCTTCCGCGTCGTCAAGCCTCGTGCCGGCCGTGTCTCGCCTTCGTTCAAGGATCGCCGCCGAAGTCGTTCCCTCGCCGTCCGCCTCCGCCGCGCCCGTTCGTCGTTGTCGTTCCCACGCCTCGTCGCGTGGTGGTAAGGATCTCTCTCCTCTCGCTGCCCCGTCCTCGTCCTTCCGGTGTCGCCCATGCTCGTTGTGCGGTTGTCGACCCCGGTACCCGTGTACCGGTGTCGGTAGTCGTTCGCTTGTGCGTGTGGTGACCGTGTTAGTGTGCCCGCTCGGTAGCCACGTGGTTTCCACGTGTGCAGCCCGTGTGGTGTCTAGTGGAGTCCGTTTGTTGGCCCCTCGCCTCGGTTGACACACGGGGTCCGCTTCCGTCGACCCGTGGACCGTCTCTGTGTACTCGGTCTACCGTGGTCCTTTAGGTTGACATGTGGGGTCCGCATGTCAACAGCGCAGCCTTCCTGTCTTTTCCAGGCTAGCGCTTCCACATGTTTTATAGTTGCAAAACCTAATTACAATAATCCGCAAATCTCCATGTAACAGCATTAAACTTCGGATGATCATATCTTGGTCATACGAACTCTGAATCGACCCGTTCAAGTCTCCTAATGTTTGTTATAACCTAAAGAACCGTGTGCTTTCTTTTTATGTATTGTTATTGCTTCTTTATAGGCTTGTAGCTTTGCTTGTGTGCTTCGCGTAGCTTTCGTCGTTCCGGAGGTTCCAGAAGCGTGGTTCGCGGTCGTCGCCAAAGGTTCGGAAGGCCGTTCTCTCTGAGCAAGGCAAGTCACATCATCCTTGAGCATATTGAATCCCAGTTTATAAAATTATTTTGATTTAAATTAATGCATTACCGCTTTATTTAAATTCCCGCGTTATCACTGTTTTATTTAGCCATGCCTATTTACCTTTGTTAAGACATTATTATTGCTATTGTTATTATTACCTTGTTCACCCTAGAATAAATAAAACCCCAACTAGTGGGTACTCTATTCGTGGTTCCACTAGTATGAATTTAGGTAGATGCTTCGCTGATTAATTAGGCAACATTAGGTGGTTTTATAACTTTAGACTTTGGGAATTCTCATATCATTTGGACACTATGGAATGGTTGGCTTATGTTGGAATTGGACACACACCTCCCCCTCTATTCAAAACCCCCAAAATGGTTTTAGGCTGGGCTCGAGGTGCGTGGTTGGGTTTTGCTAGTCGTACCTTGGGTACTATAAGGATTAAGCTCGGGCCTCTGTTGCAAAGCACTACCGTACTTCCACATGTCTAGTGGGTAAGGCTTAGTTTGTGGCTCAGTCTGGTTATAAACAAAAGTACACGGATTGGAGATGGATGAAGTCGGGGGTCGATGGACATTCTCCAGGGCAAATGAAGGCTACACGAGCTGCGGCCCGGTAGTCGAGATGTCATGGCACAGGGCTGGTGTCCTGCTGCTAGGGGGCTCAATCCTGCCTGCCTGTCCCGGGGGTTCCGGCCGTAGGTGGGGTTGGGTCGGTACTCTTGTCTATGGCTAGGATGGGTTGGAAACTATGTCACGTCTTCCGTCCGTATACCGTGGTGGTATGTGGCACGTGGTTACACGTGAGGAAGATGTGTCTTGTGGGTAAAGATGTACACCTCTGATCAGAGTATAATCTATTCGAATAGCCGCGCCCTCGGTTATGGGCAAGCCGAGCAATGTAACCAAGTCAGTGTTTTAATTCTTAAAATTTGCTTAACAACTAAAATGTGGAATGGTTGGCCTGGGTTGGGTTGGGACGAGCTGGGACCCAGGGTCGGGTTGCCAGTTCGGTCTGAATCATCGTAGGCCTTGGGTTAAGGCAGGTTCGTGGGGGTTCACGACCTTGATTAATAATACTGTGTAGCTCTAGGATCGTCTTTATAAAATGGCTTTGGGCAACTAAGTGACTTTTAAATGCTGTTTACTGCAAAACTTAACCCCTATATTATTATCCCCTTGTACTCCCTTGCATTAATTATGCATCTCCGGTGTGGCTTGCTGAGTACTGTGGTTGTACTCATTCTTGCTCTATCTTTTCCCCCTTCAGTAAGAGAAGCTTTAGAGAAGAAGTCTTAGGTGGAGTCCTGGCTTATACCCCAGTTGAGCGCCTGTGAAGATGGAGCCGTAGGCCCGCTAGTCCGCTGCTGTTTATTTTTGATTGTCAGGCCTTAAGTGCCTTTGTAATAATGTAAATATTATCGATATAATAAAGATGCGTCTTTTATATCATGTTTGTATGGTGTACCCCGGCTTTTCCTGGGACGGGGATTAATACAGTAGCGTTCGGGAAAATGAAATTTTCCCGGTCGCGACACATAACTCTTTCGATTGCTTCCTAACAATAAGAACCAGCCGATAACAAGTTATATAGCACAACATAGATTGTGTCATGTATATGATAACTCGGCGAATTACATAAATAGGGTTAAAATGTCATGAAGATGGAAGCATTAACCCCGAGAACGCAAGCCACCATAACAAGTTTTACCTCTAGTTGAAGATCGAATCCGATGCAGCTCAACCCGAAAGCAAGAACTCGTCGAAATAAACGAAAGTAAAAAGGGTGGCGATGCACCGAGATTGTATTGAATTATTGTTGTTTGATTACATGGGTTCGGGTCATATTTATACTCGAGGTACAAAATATGTAATTGCCGGACTCGACACTTATCTCTAACAAACTCTAAGATACCATAAGTCTTTGTGACAGACTTTTGCCTAAACATATCTCTAAGGAAATTACATGAAATATCCTAATTAATAGATACAATTCCCTATCATAGAGCTTTATCTCCATCACGGCAATCCTCGTGAAGCACCTTGATCGATTCTAGAAACATCTTTGAAACCATCATCATCGGAATCGGCTGCATCACCTCTATCGGTTGTCCTCTGTCAGATCCATCTCAGCCGATGCAGACTCCAACCGATGCCTTCGTAGCCGATGCATGCTCTGTTCTTCGAATCCTCTCTTTGCTGAATCCGATTCGATTCCAATGTCGAACCTCGTACATATCTTACCAAATTTGGTCGTCAACACTATGCTAGAAAAACCCTAATCGGAGCTCAGTTGAATTATACGACTACTGAAAAAGAGCTGCTTGCGGTTGTTTTTGCTATTGATAAGTTTAGATCTTACTTGGTGGGAGCTAAGGTGATAGTCTATACTGATCATGTTGCTCTGAAATACTTGCTCACTAAGAAAGATGCTAAACCACGTCTCTTAAGTTGGATTTTGCTGCTCCAAGAATTTGACTTAGAAATTAAGGATAAAAAGGGAGTACAAAATTCTGTAGCAGATCATTTGTCTAGACTGCAGATCATTGACATGCAGGAACAGCCGATAAATGACTTCTTGAGAGATGATATGCTGATGACGGTTCGCGACTCCAACCCGTGGTATGCCAACATAGTGAACTACATGGTATCCAAGTACATACCTCTAGGGGAAAATCATCAGCATATCATCAACATACCGTTCGATGTCATCGACACCTCTTCGCACAGGGCAATCACACTCCGCGACGACTCAGGTAAAATATTCAAGGTACATGGTCAACGCTTAAAGATTTTTCTTGAACCAAATGAAACTTTAGATGAAGAAGTGGATGTTATTGAATTAATCGATCATGAACCATGATGATCTCATCTAATGCATGCTTAAAACCATGTATAGTTGTCACTTTTGTGCTTAGTTTAGAATTTAGTGGGCCTAGGGAAAAATTGGCCGCCAGTTGGACCCACCAGGGTTCGGCCGAACCTACTGGTTCGGCCAAACCAGGACGGCGCCCGATTAGTTCCAATTCCCTCGCTCGTTTGTAGTCTGTTGTGATGCGCTTTCGGAGGTAGATCGATCGGATCAAAGCTCAGAGCACTTATTCTTCCTCCTCTCCTCCTCTTGTGCAAACTCCTTCTTCATCCCAATTCAATTCCTTGATTCTCCACACACAACTCACCAATGGCTGGCAAGTCCTTGATCCCATACATTGGCTCCTCCTCTAATTCCACCTATAATCTCGACGGAGAGCCAACACCAGCGAATCAATTGATCCCGGTGGAAAACTACACGATGGAAGGGGTAAACGCACTGTGGGCGCAGCCCCTCGCAATAGTGTCAGGCTCCCCTGCAAATTTGTAGCCCGTCGGTGAGCTCCGTGGTTCGGCCGAACCAGGGCTTCGGCCGAACCCTCCTCGGCCCCGTTCGGCAACGCGATCCCTCTCCCCTCGCCATGTTATGAAGACAAAAAATTCAGGGGGATTCACCTGCGTGATGGCCGACTATGGGAGAGCTCGGTATTTTGAAAGCGCGACGCCTTTTTCAATATGATGAGAAGGTCGCTGTGTGACATCCCGCCAGGGCTTAACAGGATTAATAGAATACTCATATAAACAAGTTGCAACTTCTTTACCGAAAGCCGATCTCGAAAGAACTCTGAGGTTAAGTGTGCTTGGCCCGGAGCAATTTCGAGATGGGTGACCGACCGGGAAATTCTTCCCGGGTGCACACGAGTGAGGACAAAGTGTGCACAAAAGACTTGTGTTGGTCTGTGAGGGTAGTCTATGACCTTTAAAAAGTTGCCAGATGTAAGCGGGCCCAGTCTGGGAGAGGCGGGACGTTACAAAATGGTATCAGAGCCGACTCTCGCGGTTTCACGGGCGTGTGTGTCGCAGTTGCGCAGGCAACCGACGAGGACGTCGGTGTCTTAAGGGGGTGAGGATTGTGACATCCCGGCCTAGGGCTTAATAGGATTAATAGAATACCCATATCAACAAGTTGCAACTTCTTTTCCGGAAGCCGATCTCCAAAGAACTCTAGGGTTAAGCGTGTTTGGCCTGGAGCAATTTAGGGATGGATGACCGATCAGGAAATTCTTCCCGATTGCTCATGAGTGAGGACAAAGTGTGCAGAAAAGACTTGTGTTGGTTTGTGAGGGCAGTCTATGACCTACGAAAGCTGCCAGATATAAGCGGGCTGACTTGTGTTGGTTTGTGAGGGCAGTCTTGTAAGTGGGCTGACTTGTGTTGGTTTGTGAGGGCAGTCTATGACCTATGAAAACTACCAGATGTAAGTAGGCCTAGCCTGGGAGAGGCGGGATGTTACACGCTCCGCCTCCCGCCGAGCGATATGTGGGCACCCTATTCACCAAGGCAGGGGATGAGGTGCTCCACAAGTACACCACACCCACCGCTACTCCATCCACTCCAAAGGAGGAGCGATTCTGCATCATGGGAGTGCGAATTCCCAGCGGTAGGTATGGCAAAGGTTTACTCCGGCCTTTGACGGCATCGGAGAATGAGGGGGCAACAGAATCCCGTAGCCCTCCACCTATGAAGGTGAAGCATCACTTGACGCCCCCTCCAATCGTGAGGGCTCCCAGCAAAATCCAAGAGGATGAAGTAAAATCGCCGGAGCCCTCGGTCCATAAGCTCACCGCTCAAGTGAAGAAACTCCGCAAGGAGAACATAGAGCTTAGGGATCGCAACACGGAGCTAGGGGTAGAACTCGCTGAGATTAGAAATAATGTTGGTACCCTTAGCCGCAGTTTGTGCGCTAAAATCAAGCGTGCATTCATAGAGATGGAAGGAGAATAAGTATTATGCTAATTAGATGTCTCCTTTCCCATAAATAAAATGGTAGTAGATGCTTGGTTTTTATTTTTCCAATCATGTAAAGTACTTACTATGAATAATGTGGCTCATTGGTGTTAACCCCAATGGTTGCCAAAGTTGTTTTTTGTTTTATGTTAATAAAGTTTAGATTTTGAATAAGTGTGGGGGAGATATCCCAGCTTCTGACGTGCATATACTCTGAAAATTGTTGAATCTTTGAACACCTGAAAGGCACTGTACTCTACAGAAAATTGCAGAAGGATTGGGCACCAGAGTGGTTCGGCCGAACCAGTGTTGGCTCCAATTCCTCTCAATTTTTACAGGTAAGCAGGTGAGCACGTCTATTATCTGTATATCTCCACCATGATATAGTACTAGAGCTGAAAATTCAGAAAACAATTGGTTCAAGCATAAGTAAAATATAAAATTTCCAACTAATGAAATTTCTTCATAAGATTGATCTTGTATATTCATGATTCTCAGCTGGACTTGTGCTTTTGAACAACCATCCATGTTTAGGGAACCTTATGCATCTAAGTAATTGCTTTATGTGAGATGATTCAAGATGAAAGGAATTTTTGCAACTCTTGTTATGACTCTTGGGAATTTGTTTTCAAAATAATTTTTTTTTCAAAAGTTCAATCCTCCAATTGACTCCATGTTATACCTACCAAGGGCATATGCAAGAGTATCTTTGATAAACCTTATTATGCATATGACTGCTTGACATTATATTAAACTTTGTCAAATTTGTGTGACTCATGTTAGATATCTTTCATATTCTCATGATCAAGGGGTCATTTCCACTTTCATTTTCACATATTTAATTAAGCTAAGCTTCTACACTGGAAGCTGGCTTCCCACAAAGATTTCATTCAAATAAACTCCTACATTAGACTATGCTTTCTTCTCCTAGAAAAGTTCTTGGCAAAAAGGAAAATGAGAAAAGGAGGGAAAGGCATGGCTATGAAAGAAAAGAGAGAAAAGGAAATAAAACTTGCTCTCAAAATATTTGAGCATGATGAAAAGAAAATATAGCCATGCCCCTTGCATATTCATGCCAAGAAAACAAAATGGAGGAGAAGGTATAGGAAAAAGGGGAGAATCATTTCTTTATTCCATCATTCCACAAAATATTTTACTTTTCCATTTTCCACCACAAATAAAGACCCTTGATCTAGGAGTATGACTGATGATCTTCTTGAGTCCATATTTTTGGCTTCGCGATATATATGATGCAGGTATATCACAATTTATCCCTACCAAGCTCCACATATCAGCCTTAGAATAAGGGATAAAATTCTGGCACACTTTGCCTTGGTGAGGATCCAAAAAGAAAATCCTTGAGAGACAAGAGAGAAAGTCAATATGAGGAAAAGAGTTGGTTTGCGAAAATTCATAAAAAATCCCATGAGTCTGACAAAGAAGCAAGAAGGACTGGAATTGAGATCATTCCATCTATCAATTACTCAAGATGGTAAGATAGCCACTGATAAAGTTCACAAGTACAGGTATGGTTGTTAATGGTGTATATGCTTGATTCATATCTTGAAGAAATTCATTCTACACTAACCTTTACTCAGGGACGAGCAAAGAGCTAAGTGTGGGGGGTTTTGTTGGCGGCTGTTAAATGCCGATTCTATACCGCCAACATCTGCATAAAGTTCAGATAATAAAACATCCAACATAGTGATAGGTGCTTAATCTCACATATTCCACAAGTGTTGGTGTATATTTGTATGCAGGCGATAAACCCCGATGTTGGGAGGAAATCTAGACTAAAGTGAGGAGAATTATGTATCCATACAAGGAAGGGTTGTAAACTTCATCAAAACATCAGAGGATCAACCCAAAATACCGAAGAATGAATAGAGGAAGACCAGGGGAGAACATGGGCTAAAGGCCAGGCAAGATGGGCCCAGCCCAGGTTCGGCCGAACCCCCTGGTTCGGCCGAACCATCATCTCCACCGTTGGATGTGGGGTTTGGCGTGGACGTCTCAGATGCATCCCAGATGACGGTTGGAGGGCACTTCGGACATTTCCCCTTCGCCAACCGTCATACCTACCTCTATATAAAGACATCACTCCCTCACTTCACTCACACACTTCCAAGCTTGAGCTGAATTATAAGAAGCTCTACTATACTATATTGTATATTAGAATAGGAAGAAAGTAGAGTATAAGAAGTCGGAAGAATTCCGGAGTTGTCGGTAATCATCTCCTATTTCTTTTATTCTGTTTATTACTCTGAATTCAATATAATATTCTTCCTGAGTAATTTAGATTTATCTTATGAGAATTATCTCTTGGTTAGTTCCTAAATAGCATACGGGATTATTGTTCACTATAATCAACAAAAGCATAATGATTGCTTTGGTGAGTTATACACACTAAAGTAGATATTAATTTCTTAGACGTGGTGTTTAGGTAATTGTTATCCAGTAATTGCTGTGTATCCCACAGTACGTTTGAGGTAGGTGTAGAGGTGGTGACAGCCCTCGAAATCACTTAAGTCCTCCCTGTCGGGGTACGTAGTAGAGCGACATCTGGGAACAGCGGGTTGCCAGTGCCTGAAGTATTGCCTTAGGATTAAAGTTAAGCTTTCCCTAGACACTATTTCTTACTAGTGAATCCTCTCTTTCCTGGCCTATCATTTGCTTGGTGTCCTTGGTTGAACTAGAGGAAGATCTGATCGCACACGTTCCCTTGGATTCGATACCCTTGGAATACTCCGTAGGGGAAGTGATACATCGGTATATCCATGCGCTTGCGGATTTTAACTGTGATTGTAAGAAATACCAGTAGGTACTGGCAGATAGGTCGCAATCAGTATTCACAGAACTTATTCATCACAATCAGTATGGCTTTATTAGAGGCAGAACTATACAGGATTGTCTTGCTTGGTCCTTTGAATACCTGCATCAGTGTCAACAATCAAAGAGGGAAATAGTGCTCTTAAAGCTAGATTTTGAAAAGGCTTTTGACACAATTGAACACTCTGTTATCTTGAATATTATGAAGCAAATGGGTTTTGACTCTAAATGTTTGAGTTGGATTAACTTGATCTTTTCATCAGCTTCCTCTTCAGTGCTGCTTAATGGTGTCCCAGGGAAATCTTTTTATTGCACAAGGGGGGTGAGGCAAGGGGATCCCTTGTCCCCTCTTTTATTTGTGCTTGGTGCTTATCTTTTGCAGGCTGTAATCAATAAGACCTATTCTCAAGGGTCCTTTCTATTCCCATTCCAACACCTGACAATGATTTTCCAGTTGTACAATATGTAGATGATTCTTTACTCTTCTTGACAGCTTCCTCAAAATAACTTTTTTGTCTAAAGGCTATCCTCAACACCTTTGCTGATTCTACAGGTTTAAAGGTTAATTATAGTAAATCTTGCTCCCCGCAAAAAAAATTATAGTAAATCTTGCATGATTCCTTTGAATGTGGATCCAGAAAAAGTTCAGCATCTTTCAGGGTTGTTTGGTTGTGCTATTGGACCACTACCTTTTACATATTTGGGCCTCCCTTTGGGAACCACTAGACCAAAGGTGATTGACTTTGCACCTCTTGTTGATAGAATTGAAAGGAGGCTGTCAGCTACCTCTGCTCTATTGTCTTATGGTGACAGAATCACAATGGTAAATTCAGTTCTTTCCTCCCTTCCTACTTATTATATATGTTCCCTCTCCCTCCCAAAATCTGTGATTGAAAGTATTGATAGAGCAAGGAGACATTGCCAATGGAGGGGATCTGACATAAATTCTAGTAGGAAATCCTTAGTGCTTTGGGAGAGAGTTTGTCAACCAAAAAATACAGGTGGTTTGGGTGTTATTGATCTCAATCTTCAGAATGCCGCTCTCTTGATGAAAAATTTGCATAAGTTCTACAACAGGCATCCTATTACATGCGTAAATTTGATCTAGACCTCTTATAACTCTGATAAATTACCACATGTTGTTCATCCAAGGGGTTCCTTTTGGTGGAAGGATGTGTTGCAATTTGTGGACATTTTCAGAAGTCCGTCAAATTGTAAAGTGGGTGATGGAAAAACTTTTTTGTTCTGGGATGATTTTTGGAATGGTAAAGTTAGGTCAGCTGTGTTCCCTAGAATTCACTCTTTTGCACTCTCTCGCAAGGACTCGGTAAGCATAACTTCTACTAAAAGCATATCACAGCTTTTTGCTCTGCCTTTATCTGAACAAGCTTTCCAGCAATATGAATCCATGAGTGAAGCTGACCCCCTGAATCTATTATCTGATGATAAGGATGTTTGGACTTATGTATGGGGTAATGGACTGTTCTCTTCTCAGAAAATATATGCAATAAACTTCATGCATGTCCAAGCCCCTGGGTACTTAAGTTGGATTTGGAAAAGCAAATCTTATAATACGAATTCGATGCAAAAGATCACAAAGAGAATGGTGCCACGTGGCAGCACCGGTTTCGCGGAAGAGGCTCGACGAAAAGATCTTGCGTGTGCGCGTGCAACGATTTGCTCTTGCGTGCGTGCGTGCACCAGCCATCGGATGGAGTTTCTTCCAGAAGCTTCTTCACGAATATATCGAGGAGCAATTGGGTCCATGGACCATGGCTCAGCAGGCCGTGCAATGGCACAAGAAGATGCTGGATGAAACGAGATATTAACCATATATGTAGGATGTAGGAGTAGCATACAAACATCCGGTGCATGCTGATCAATGCAAACATCCGATGCATGATCGATGCATGAATTGGCACATTCAGTAGTCTGTATTCCCTATTTTGTACGCACAGCTTTGATTAATTTTCACTTTCCTTGTACTCTCTCCGTCTCAAAATATAGCATCCTGTACTGGATGGGACATATCGTAGTACAATGAATATGGACATAAACTTCACAAGGATATTTTTAAGCTCTTCAATCTCCCATCTAGATTCACTAATGTTCATATAAATTTCGACATATATATGAAACACATATATTGATCCATTTATAAATTTATTTAAAACCCAAAACATCTTATACTATGAAACATAAATTTATTCAAAACCTCAAACATTTAATACACATACATTGATCCATCTATAAATTTATTCAAAATCCAAACATTTTATAATGTGAAATAGAAATTTATTTAAAACCCAAAACATCAGAGAAAATAAGCCCATAATTAAGTGGAAGTATATACTCATTTGTTACCCCACTAGGCCCAATGGCCTAAGCTCATTATACCATGCGTGGCTTTTGCCACGCGTTTTTTCTAGTGTTCTATGAAAGTTAAGGTGTTTGCTTGGCTTCTCCTAATTGATAGACTAAACACCTATGATATGCTGCAGAGAAGGCACTACCCTCCTGAAAATTCAGATCTAACATGTGTCCTTTGTCCAGCTCAAGCAAGGGAAACTTCTTTCCATCTTTTCTTTCAATGCCAATTCAGTTCATATTGTTGGGCGCAGCTGGGAATTGTCTGGAACCTCTCTCTCAATTTTGATGATATGCTGCTGCAGGCAAAGAGCTCATATAGATCCACACATATTGTTGAAAAAAATTCTCTATGCTGCATGGAACATTTGGAAGCAACGAAACGCTTTAATTTTTCAGAATGAACCACCTTCGGTTGTTTCCTGGAAAGCTCTCTTTAAGATTGATCTTTCCCTTTTAGTCTTTAGATTAAAAGATTCGGAGAGACAAGCTTTATCTCAGTGCATAAACCTTTTGTAAATATTTTGTATTCCTTCTTTTAATTTAATATATTAACTGTGGGGGCTTCCCCTACAGTGTTTTCCCTCAAAAAAAAATATTATTGTATGTATTCACGTCACTTTTAACACATGCAATATATGTATTATATCCTAATAAAATGTTTGTTAGTGGCTAAATGTATTTATGTATTAGATAATTAATTAATTGCAACATTATTGATTAAAAATTAATATTAAAAAATGTAGTGGGAAAATTTATATTTTGACGCGAATATTCTCCTAGGCGAACTTGTCCCATTTTCGTAGGTGGCTATGTAACCATATTTTCTGGTGGCGAGGCACACTCCCATCCGCTTGGGAAGTGTCACGTCCTGATAAATTCATCCCGAAATAAAAATCATTCCCTAAAAGGAATAATAGAATTAATTAAAATTCGAAAAGAAATTGGCAAACACTAAAATACGTACAAGAAAAATTCGAATGTGGTCCGGAGAATTTTTGTTAAATTCTCCTTGGTCTAAAAGGAGCCCTCAAATTTTACTTGAATTTTCAGAGCACCAAAAATATTTATTAAGCAACAACAACAATTAACAAAGTTTATTAAAAAGAAAAAAAAAGCTAAAAATAATCCCCAAGCCTCCCTCTCTCTCTCGGCCCGCGGCCAAAGTCCTTCCCTCCTCCCTCTCTTTTTCCTTCCCTCTCTCTCTCTCTTGGGCCGCCCTCCCTCCTTCCCCTCGGCCCAGCTCCCTCCTTCTCCCTCTCCCTCCCGGGCTGCCTCTCCCTCCTCTCCTCCTGGGCCGCCTCCGGGCCCAAGCCGAGTGGCGCCCTCCCGCCTGTGCCGCGCACGTGCGTGCGCTGACGGCGCGCCTGCGTGGGCCCCACCACCTGGGTCATCGTCCTCCTCCCGCACAGCTCCTCTCTCTCCCGTGAACCCTAGTTTCTTGCTCCCTCTAATCCGCGCAAATCAAACCATGGATTCCAAAATTAATTGGGGGGAATTAATTCCCATTCCTTCCTCTTCAATTCCCCTCAATTTTCCCCTTGAATCGTGCCCCCAATCGCCGGGAACGGACGCGCCAACCCCGGCCGCTTTTGATGGCCGCCGGCCGACTTTTCCGCCGCCGTTCCCACCTCTCCCGTGCCCGGATCCCTCTCCTCTCCTATAAAATGGAACCCCCTCACTCCGTTCACTCGTTTTAGCCCCCTCCCGCGATCTCCCGTGGCCTCACCACGTCTCCCTGCCTTCTCCTTCTCTCTCTCCGGCGCCGGCTGACCTCCAGCCGCCCCTGCCGCCGCGTCAGCGCTCCGGCCGGCCGTGCCGTCGTCTCCCCCGGCGTCGCAGCCGCTACCTCTTCCCCGGCGTCGCCTCCGTTTTGCGGGGAAGCCACCGGAGACGCGTCCTCGCCAACGACTAGTGGTGTCGCCACCGCCTCCAGCCGCTTGTGCCGCCTCGCCGATGCCACGGCTGTCGTCATCGCCATCCTCCCTCGACGTCGCCCTCCACCCTGGCCTGCCCTCGGTTTCGCCGGAACGCTGTCGCCCACGCCGGTCTCGCCCTCCGCCTCGCCGGAGTTCCTTCGGCAACCCCTTCCGCCGTGCCCGTGCGTCGGCCGACATCGCCATCTCCTCCTCCGGCATCGCAGCGTCAAGGTTGCACTCGGCCTCGCATCCCCTCCATCCGAACCCCGCCGGTGTTCGTTATCGTCGTCTCCGTTCGTCCTCGTCGACGACTCCTCCGGTCGGTCGTTCGTCCTCGCCGGCTCATCGTCTCGCTGCGCCGCCACCCTCGTCGTCATCGCAGCGGCGTGTTCCGCGCCGTCCTCGTCTCCGTGCAGCTGCTGCCGGCTGCCCTCATCGCCTCCTCGCCGGTTCCGGTCGTTGTCCTCTTGTCGTTCCCGGTCGTCGTGGCATTCGTCCCTCCGTCAAGCCGTTCCCGTCCGTCGTCCGCGTCCGTCAAGTGTGCCGCTGCAGCCCCGTCGTCGTCTTCGCCCTCGCCTCCGCGTCGTCAAGCCTTGTGCCGGCCGCGTCTCGCCTTCGTCCAAGGATCGCCGCCGAAGTCGTTCCCTCGCCGTCCGTTTCCGCCGCGCCCGTTCGTCGTTGTCGTTCCCACGCCTCGTCGCGTGGTGGTAAGGATCCCTCTCCCTCGCTGCCCCATCCTCGTCCTTTCGGTGTCGCCCGTGCCTGTTGTGCGGTTGTCGGCCCCGGTACCCGTGTATCGGTGTCGGTAGTCGTTCGCTTGTGTGTGTGGTGACCGTGTTAGTGTGTCCGCTCGGTAGCCGCGTGGTTTCCACGTGTGGTGTCTAGTGGAGTCCGTTTGTCGGCCACTCGCCTCGGTTGACACACGGGATCTGCTTCTGTCAACCCGTGGACCGTCTCTGTGTACCCGGTCCACCGTGGTCCCTTAGGTTGACATGTGGGGTCCGCATGTCAACGGCGCAGCCTTCCTGTCTTTTCCAGGCTAGCGCTTAGACATGTTTTATAGTTGTAAAACCTAATTATAATAATCCGCAAATCTCCATATAACATCATTAAACTTCGGATGACCATGTCTTGGTCATACGAACTCTGAATCGACCCGTTCAAGTCTCCTAATGTTTGTTATAACCTAAAGAACCCTGTGCTTTCTTTTTATGTATTGTTATTGCTTCTTTATAGGCTTGTAGCTTTGCTTGTGTGCTTCGCGTAGCTTCTGTCGTTCCGGAGGTTCTCGAAGCGTGGGTCGCGGTCGTCGCCGAAGGTTCGGAAGGCCGTTGTCTCTCAGCAAGGCAAGTCACATCATCCTTGAGCATATTGAATCCTAGTTTATAAAATTATTTTGATTTAAATTAATGCATTGTCGCTTTATTTAAATTCCCGCGTTATCACTGATTTATTTAGCCATGCCTATTTACCTTTGTTATGACCTTATTATTATTGCTATTGTTATTATTACCTTGTTCACCCTAGGATAAACAAAACCCCAACTAGTGGGTACTCTATTCATGGTTCCACTAGTATGAATTTCGGTAGATGCTTCGCTGATTAATTATGCAACATTAGGTGGTTTTATAACTTTAGACTTTGGGAATTCTCATATCATTTGGACAGTATGGAATGGCTGGCTTATGTTGGAATTGGACACACACCTCCCGTTCTTTTCAAAACCCCCAAAACGGTTTTAGGCTGGGCTCGAGGTGCGTGGTTGGGTTTTGTTAGTCGTACCTCGGGTACTATAAGGATTAAGCTCGGGCCTCTGTTGCAAAGCACTACCGTACTTCCACATGTCTAGTGGGTAAGGCTTAGTTTGTGGCTCAGTCTGGTTATAAACAAAGGTACACGGATGGAGATGGACGAAGTCGGGGGTCGATGGACATCTCTAGGACAAATGAAGGCTACACGAGCTGTGGCCCGATAGTCGAGATGTCATGGCACATGGCTGGTGTCCTGCTGCTAGGGGCTCAATCTTGCCTGCCTGTCCCGCAGGTTCCGGCCGTAGGTGGGGTTGGGTCGGTACTCTTGTTTATGGCTAGGATGGGTTGGGAACTATGTCACGTCTTTCATCCGTATGCCGTGGTGGTATGTGGCACGTGGTTACACGTGAGGAAGATGTGTCTTGTGGGTAAAGATGTACACCTCTGATCAGAGTATAATCTATTCGAATAGCCGCGCCCTCGGTTATGGGCAAGCCTAGCAATGTACCCAAGTTAGTGTTTTAATTCTTAAAACCTGCTTAACAACTAAAATGTGGAATGGTTGTTAAGCCCCATCAACCGTTCTCAGCGCGACCCCTACCTGACACGTGAACTGTCGATATTTTGTATCGGTAATAATAAAAGGGGTAGCACACAAGACTTAAAAGTGGATGGATACGAAAGACAAGGATTTTAGACAAGTTCAGACCCTTTCGATGAGAGGTAATACTACTCATGTTTGAGGATGTTTTCGACGTTTGAGATCGCGACTACAGTATTTGGATGGTATGGGGATCGTCGGTACCAGGGTATATGCGAGATTGAGATAAAGAGATAGAGATAGGGATTTTTATAAAGGTTCGGGCCCCTTATCTGACAGGTAATAGCCCTACATCCTGTTGGCCAAAGCCGGTGTTGCTCTTATTCATCTGAATCACACAAGTACAACATTTGGGATAACCTATCTAGCTGTCGTCGACTTGGCGGCGAGATAACCAACACGTAGTCGAAGATAGGGCAGTCTTCCTCCTTGAATATGAATCCGTCGAGATCCGAGATGGCGCTAGATCCCTCTTGCCGGTCTCCGTATACACCGGATAGGGTATGTCTAGACTAATCTCTAATGCCGATATTTGGCGGCGTATTGGTTTGTGTATATGTTGTATCTTGTGTCTTGTCCCCTCTCCTCCTAGGGGGGCTTATATTTATACCCATAAGTGCCCTCTTGTCCAAGTTGAACTAGGGAGACCAATATGGATACAAATCAAGTAGTCCTTGTTGTTTCCATATAGAACTCTACTCGTCCTTCCTTATCTGGAACTCCTTCTATATACGAAGTTTGTTTCCGTATAAGACATGGTATGTGGTGGGCCCCGCCGAGCTTAATCGATTACTATTGGGTATGTGGTATCCATAACCCTAATAGTAGCCCCCGACTTCAATACAAATGAACGAGTTAAGGTTCTCGATCGAAGACTTTGGAACAACTATTGTCGTGCTCGCTTGACCGTTCTCGGTATGATCAGAAATAACACTAGATTCCTCTTATTGGCCTTTGTAGGCACTATATTAGGTTTGTCTAGGTTAATCTCCGATGTCGACCGAGAAGATACGGAACATGCGACTAAGTCTCCCGTCTTGTTGTAATCGAGAATTTGGATTGAAGTGAAGAAATTCCATCTCGGCGGGTATACCATCGCTTGATTCCATATTCCTTGACAAGCCCCATCAACCGTTCTCGAGTAATCGAGTAGGCGTAGAGTCTGCAACAAAGCCTTGAAATCTGACTTGACTATTCTAATGTCTGACTCTCCTAAAATCAATACTCAGAACATTTGCTGTACTCGCTTAGTCGATCTCGGTGTAGAACCATAGAGACACAGAGTCTTCGACAATGTTGAATAGAATTTTCATGAAATCAACACTCAGAATAGAATATTAAATAGAAATAGCCCTCGAGCGACACTCAAAGGGTAACATGTTATAATACGTATGGAAAAATTGAAAATAAACAAAATCTGCGTGTGACAATAAAAGAGTACTCTCGCTAGAGTTGCCCTCAGCAAACGGAGTTTGGTACCCTTCCTAGCCCCCAGCTGTTTTTATGGAAAAACTATTTTCCACAAAGACAGCTTGAATCTTATAACAAATCATGCTGAAGCTGACAAATCCTAGCCCCAAGCCATGAAGTTGGAAAAGTCAATTTCCAATTACACGGCTTGGTTAATACGCATCCATTGAGCACTCTTACATGACCAGGTTTTACATGGTTCATTCGGTTCTTATAATCCAACAAGACCTTATCTGTTCTGGGCGTCCCCTGCCGAAATTCCCTTGGGTTTCTCAGAGGCTTGTCAGAACAGTGCAAAGGGACAATAGGACCACCTTCAAGACGAGGCGATATAAGAAGAGATCAACGGATAAATATTGCACATGTAAATACTTACAAAAATTGATGTAGATGATGAGACGACCACCACACTGGACAAAGACCAAGTGTATAGTTGTACTCAACAAATCGCAGAAGTAGTAGGAGAATAGCTACACCGCTGGTCAAAGACCAGTTGTAGTCATAACTCGACCACTAAAAATTGAGGTGCGAGAACCGCTACGCTGCTGGTTGAGGACCAGTCGTAGTCGTAACTTGACCATTGGAAGTCGTGGTACAAGGATCGATATGTTGCTGGTAGAGGTCCAGTCGTAGTCGTACCTCGACCATTAGAAGTCGTGGGGCGAGGATCACTACATTACTGGTCGAGGACCAGTCGTAGTCGTACCTCGGCCACCTGAAGGGAATCCGGAGTAATAGATGGACGGCGTCCTCGCAACTTGCGAGAACCGCCTCCTGATGACGACGAAGATGATAAGGAATTATTGTAGTCGGAGGTTCGGCTCCTGGACCTACTACCTCATCCTCGGGCTCTCTAGAAGTCTGGGGATCTCGAGTTTCATCGTCGTCGTGTGATGTCGTGATGTCATAACCTTGTTTGTTGTCATCCTAATGTCGTTAGTCCTAGACGTTGTTGTTCTGGTGACAACGGCGATCTATTCGGCCTTGGTTGTCGCTATCACGATAATGTTGATTGTCGCGTTAGATGTCGAGAGATTGCTGTAACCGACTGGTCGAGGACCAGGAGTAGACGTATCTCGATCACCTGAAGACGAATTTTTAGGTGGTGAGAGATCGCTACGATCTACTGGTCGAGGACCAGGTGTAGGCATATCTCGATTACTTGAAGATGCATTTTTAGGTGGTGAGAGATCGCTACGATCTACTGGTCAAGGACCTGGTGTAGGTGTATCTCAATCACATATAGGCAATTGATAGGCACACGAAAACAAACCGTATTCGCGAAAGCATCTCTTGTTATCCGTGACTCCCCTTATCAATATTTGCCGTACTCACTTGGTCAATCCCGGTGTAAGACCGTAGAGACATGGAGTTTTCGACAACGATAGATGGAGTTCAGCGATGCACAAGTGAATTTAGATTGATAGGCGGTGAGATGTCGTTACAACTGTCTGGTCGATAACCAGGAGTAGGCGTCTCTTAATCACCTATAGAGGCGCTAGAGTTGGTTATTACATGTGCATCTCATGTGGCCAACATGACTCACATACCCAACTTATAGCCGGCGCTGTACATGAGATAAGTCGTCGGTCTTCGTTGGTAGGTTGGTTGTGACAACTCAGCATTTTTCGAGAATGTTCACGATAAAGGGATGTACTCGACCACATCCTACTCGAGTGCTCAATTGTTCCTGAAAAAGATATATATAGCAGAGAATATCGAGCATGTACTTGAAAGACTGCGTGAATCTTCTAATATTATCATGATATAACGAGCAGATTAAATATTAGGCATTATGTAAACTGTAAACAAGCATGATTTATACTAAAGAAAATAAAGCGAGCCCCCAGTATTAAACCGTAGTCGACCTAACACCGGAAACACTCGCACAATAAATATTATATAGAAAACATGCTCTAGTTAAATATAATAAATTATAGATCTAACAATTTGTATTGATCTAAAGAATTGGTACGGTAAGTTGTATAAAATATTACGTACCTTTACAGATATATCTACGAAGTTAGTAGATTGACTTAAAAAATCAATATACCAGTTACCTTGGTTGATGGTGTATACATGCAGTAGGCCTGTAGATTAATAAATATTCTCCTCTAGCCACTCATGTACACGTACAAGATCTTCTCGGCTGCACTGACTTGCTTTGAAAAATCAATATGTCCCGTCATCGGTAGAACTCCTGCTGGAGACTGCCCGCGTCGAGATGATGCATGTGAAGTAGTTTAATCTGAGCTCCTGATTCATCTGATGCCCACGCTAGTCGGCCTCCCATGAAATTTTGCCACCTGCCGTCTTTGGTTAAGTACGACCAAATAGAGGGCAAATTGACAGAAACAAGGGGCGCCGCCATGATGGAATCAGATTCGTTGAGCAGCTCGGAAGTAGTTGATCAGGCCGAAGTCCTCCGGTCAACAATATTGGACCATTGTTGCCCGTGGCGGTGATAGTGTTCCGATCTCGTCGGAAGACATACTCCGGTCGGGTTAGATCTCCCTATAGTTGAAGTCATTGAGTAGCTTGTTGTTGGAGAATCCATCTCTTAAACCCATCTCATCGAAACCTTGAAGCACCAAAATCCCCCTACCTGGCGCGTCACTGTCGACGTTTGAGATCGTGACTACAGTATTTGGATGGTATGGGGATCATCGGTACCAGGGTGTAACATCCCGGCCTAGGGCTTAATATAATTAATAGAATACTCATATCAACAAGTTGCAACTTCTTTTCCGGAAGCCAATCTCTAAATAACTCTAAGGTTAAGCGTGCTTGGCCTAGAGCAATTTAGGGATGCGTGACCGATCGGAAAATTCTTCCCGAGTGCGTACGAGTGAGGACAAAATGTGCAGAAAAGACTTGTGTTGGTTTATGAGGGCAGTCTATAACCTATAAAAGCTGGGGGTACAATACTCATATTGCAACTTCTTCGTCTATGACCTATGATAACCATATGAGGCTAAGCGTGCTTGGCTTGGAAATTCTTTTCAGGAAGCCGATCTCTAAAGAACTTTGAGGTTAAGCGTGCTTGGCCTAAAAATTCTTCCCGAGTGCGCATGAGTGATATGATAGGTAATAGCCCTACATCCTATTGGCTGAAGCCGGTGTTGTCTATAACCTATAAAAGCTGGGGGTACAATACTCATATTGCAACTTCTTCGTCTATGACCTATGATAACCATATGAGGTTAAGCGTGCTTGGCTTGGAAATTCTTTTCAGGAAGCCGATCTCTAAAGAACTTTGAGGTTAAGCGTGCTTGAACCAGGGAGACCAATATGGATACAATTCAAGTAGTCCTTGTCGTTTCCGTATAGAACTCTACTCATCCTTCCTTATCCGGAACTCTTTTATATACGAAGTTTTTTTTCATATAAGACATGGTATGTGGTAGGCACCGCCGAGCTGAATCGATTATTATTGGGTACGTGATATCCATGACACTTACAGATGTCATCCGTGCCAGGTGTTGTATTGATCTAATGATCTGATTGTGCTTATGTCCATGGAGGTCTCCCTGCCCACCTTATGTGTGTTGGTGGCAAGGTTACAAAGAGAAAAATCTAGTCAGAGCCGGTATCACTTTCCTAATCTATTACTCCCTCTGTCCCATTTTAAGTGCAACCATGAGTTTCTGTGCCCAACTTTGAACATCCGTCTTATTTGAAAATTTTTTATAATTAGTATTTTTGTTGTTATGAGATGATAAAAACATGAACAATACTTTACTTGTGACTTATGTTTTTAAATTTTTAAAAAAAATTTTAAATAAGACGGACGATCAAAATTGGGCCCGGAAAACCATGGCTACACTTAAAATGGGACGGAAGGAGTGCTGGGTAGTATTCAACTGGGTTTCTATAAGGGAACATGACAACTGAATCCTACTTCATCCGTTTCAGGTTATAAGACTTTCTAGCATTGCACACATTCATATAGATGTTAATGAATCTAGGCAATACTAGAAAGTCTTACTCCCTCCGGTTTCATTTTAATTAACTTTTGGACAATGACACAATCTACAAAATGTATATTTGACCTTATATTTTTATTATAATATACACAACAAATAAATGCATGTTTACTTTTATAATGGTATTTTGAAAAACAAATCTATATAGTCTGTCTAAATACTTTTAAAGTTATTGATGGTCAAAGTTATTAAATTTTGACCTCAAACTTGTTCAAAACGTCAATTATTATAAAACCGGAGGAAGTATATCCTAAAACGGAGGTAGTACTTTATAACATAATACATGGATCCGGTTCATCTCCTATCTCTAGTTAGATATACAATTTACATGGATATCCGGTTTCCATATGCTCCATAATCAGTGCCAATTACCCTAATGCTGAGAAAAGATCTCACTGCAAAATAAGTTTTTGCAAAAGTTTATTTATAAAATAATAAGTTTTGAAAAATGACTCATTCCTCTACGGCTTGTTTGGTAACTTGAGGGAAGGGGATTGGGAGGTTACATAAGGAAATTTATGATGAGATTAAGATGGGAATTTAATTTTTAATCCCAATGTCTTGTTTGGTAGATGTGATGGAAATTGACAGGGAGTTTTGTTGGAGATTAGCTCATTAATAAAAACAGATGGCTTAGATTTGCTTAGACAAAGTAAAGGAGGAATCCCCCAATTACTTGCCCCTACCCAGGTATTGAAAATAAGGGAGTTTCTTCCTTAATTCTTCATTCCAATCCCACCAAAATTTCTATGTCTCTCAAATCCAACACAATACTTAATAGCCTCTTAAAAACTCGGTCCAACCAAACCGGCCGCTAGTACCAATCGCTACGAGCAGACCGGCACTCCGCCAGCCCGCAGCTTGCCCGCGGTACCCTCAACGGAGTGGCTCCGCACGCCATACCCGTCCAGTAAGAGGCGAGGGGCCTATCACGAAAGAAAGCGGCGGGGCCAAGTCAACGTGCTACTTTTCACCGCGCCGTGCTTCCCAGAATCCCAGTGCGTGCCTCCGCCTCCACCTCCACCTCGTCACCGCAACGCATAAGAGAGCCGTAGCCGTGGACTCGCCGTACCTTTTTTGCTTTGCTTCCCTCCCCTCTCATACAGCCACCCCCGGCAAAAAGTTCCCCCAAAAAACGCTCCGGGCCGGCCCTCTCCCTCCTTCCCCCATGGCGGCGCACGAGGGCGGCGGCAACGGCGCCCGCCGCCCGCCCGCGCCGCCGCTGCTCCCCACGCTCTCGCTGCCCCCGCGATCCGCGGCCGGTTCCCTCTTCTCCGCCGAGTCCAGCCCCGGCGCGCTCACTCTCGCCGCCTCGCTCTTCCCCGACGCGCCCTCCCCGGCCTTCCAGGGCTCTTTCACCCAGCTCCTCGTCGGCGCCATGGGCTACCCCGCCGCCTCCGCCCCCGCTCCGCCCTCACCGTTCCCGGTGCCGCACGGACTCAGCCCCACCGCGTTCCTCGGGGGCTCCCCCGGCCTCTTCTCCCCGACGGTAACATACTCACCACAAGCCAATCAACAATCGTAGCTTTATTTATCTTATCTCTCTGCTCGACGGCCCGCTTGGTGCTTTGTCCTTGCCTATGTTCCGTGCTACTGCGTGACTGAGTGTCCGCTACTGTACAGCTAGTTGGTTATATTTTGCAGGTACTATCGTACTGTTCCTATTTTCATTGCTGATACATGTAAAGGTTAGTACAATGATGATTGTGTTGGACCCGCCTATCCAGATTTGCGTGCTGTTATTGAAACTGTGAGGTTGTTTGGGAGGCGCACAGCCGTGCAACAGTCAGGTAGGGTCCGGGTCATTTTAACCACTAGTGCCATTTCGTGGTACTACTGACTACTACTGTCCACGTACTGGGTATCTGAATGCTGCGGTACTACCTCAGTTCCAAAATGTAGCTATTTCTAGCGCAATAACTTGTCCTAAAATGAAGTTATTTCTCCAAATACCCTCTCTTCTCAACCAATCACAAACATTCTTTTCACCTACTTTCTCCTCTCCACCAATCACAACCCTCCTCCAATCATCTCGATCTACTTTCTTAATATTCGTGCCCACCTAAAAACTGCCTATATTCTGTGTCGGAGGAAGTATTGTTTTTTTCGACTGTAGTTGAGTGTCTTGCACGAGGTGATGGGTTGCTAGATAACATTTGACAGTTTTTTTTATTGAAAAACTTAAAAATGTAACTATAGCACTATAATTTGAGTATAATCACATTGTAAATATATTATAATTATATTACTGTATTTTATACCTAACTACTATAAAATCAACAAAAACCCACATGGGGCTCACTGGCTAGCGCTTCTTGCTTTTGCACGAGAGGCAGTGGGTTTGACCTCCGCCCTGTGCAGCTGTGCAAAATTGTTTTCCTACACTCTCTCACACGAATGTCAACATGATGCAATGGTCTACAAACTGAAAGTAAATTTCGCCACTCTCGCACAAATCTCAACGTGATCGAATGGTCTACAAACTGAAAGTTTTGGGGGGAAATAACTGTGAACACTTCTTTAGCAAATCTGTTTTTGCATTGCCAATAACTACGTGGTATGGTATGTTAGCCTACTGGACTGCGGGACAGGGGATGCGGAGCAGTTTGCTACTCATGACTGTTAGCTGCGTTTTGGGTTATGTGGTATGTTTCTGCTCATCATCGCTTAGTTAAAATAGGTTTATGATATATATGGCATGGGTCAGGGGCCTTTGGTTCTCTTTTTGTTGACCAGGTTCCTTTGGTTCTCTTGGATAGCTGTTATTGGTTGATCCTGCAGTTCAATCTTTTTGCCATTGAGGGGAGACTAGCTAATAGTACGATTCCATGTGGAGAGGAGACTTATAACCCTGGGGCAGCACATTTGATGAAAATGGAACTTGATAGATTTTGATATAGTTCTCTCCTATTGCCATCTAATTGAGTCTCCTATTTGTTATCAATGATGAGGCAAGAAAATAGTTGTGGTTTTCTGTTAGACTTCATGATACCATGTGGGTAAAGGTCTTCAGGCATTTCTATTTCATGCTGTAACTAAATTTTTAGATATGTATCTTATAGAGTTAGGGACAATCATACTGAACTACTGATACGGACAAAAAGGCTTGAAATTGTGCTGGTAAAATATTGATATTATTATAAATATAAGAGCATACAAATGTTCCAAACGGCGCGTTAGCAATTATGGGTGTTGTATTTGATCAATTATAGAAATCATGGAGGTTGTAACGGCATGATGATGTAGGCTCTGTTAGGGTTTACAGGTATGGTAGGCGCATGGTTTGAGATCTGAAATTTGCAAATGCTCTTTTTAAATTAGCACTAGCACAGGAGGCACAAAGCATATAATGATTATCTGTTACATGTCAAGGATCTTGGTGATACTAGCATTTATAGCAAGTGACCTGATCTATTTGACCCTATGAATGTTGAAATTGGTAAATTATTTCCCTTTGTGTAGCTAAAAAAATAATGCGTGTTTATGTCTTTTTGCTAACTATATGTTTTTTTCCTCTTCTTTTGCTAGCCATTGTTGGGAATAGTCCCACATTGCTAATCTAGGAGGAGTTGAACCAACTTAAAAGTGGGGGGAGCCCCTCACCTCTTGAGCTAGCTTTTGGGGTGTAGCAAGGCTTTCTCCCGGTTGGGCCAACGTCTCCCGGTTTTGGGCTAACAAGTGGTATCAGAGCCAAACCCACAATCTCTAGTGCTTGTGCACACTCAGGGCGGTGTAAGCCCAAAGCCCAGTGGACCGCGGGTGTGAGGCCCGTACGTGCCCGTGTGTGGGGCCGGTCAGTGGACCGCGGGTGTGAGGCCCGTATGTGCCTGTGTGTGGGGCCGGTCAGGGCTAAGGGGCACCAATGTGTGACGGGGGAGATTTTTGGGAATAGTCCCACATTGCTAATCTAGGGGGAGTTGAACCAACTTAAAAGTGGGGGGAGCCCCTCACCTCTTGAGTTAGCTTTTGGGGTGTAGCAAGGTTTTCTCCCGGTTGGGCCAACGTCTCCCGGTTTTGGGCTAACAGCCATGTTGATATTGGTTACACAATAGTCGTAGTGATGTTAGTACGTTGTAGTGTTATCTGGATTCATGCACGTAGATGTATTCCCATTATTACATCCTAGTGGCAATTCTATTTAATGCTTGCCAAGGTTGAATGAGTTCACACTGAGTGGAGTGTACAATGCTTGCCTTATCCTTCGGAGTTTTCAGTGGAAGTTCAGCTTTTCTGCCAGGCAGGCAGATAAGTTCAAGAAAAGGTATCCTTGGTTAGGGGACAGACCGTTGGTACCAACCATCAAAACCTTCCAAATCTCCACAAATCCTACTACCGAAGGTTTAGGGATTATCTCTGAAGTGCCCATACGGTACAATAGCGTTGAGGTCATCTTAGATTTCCATCTGTTTGATATCTCTGATTTTGACATACTCATAGGACATCCCATAGAGAAACTCTTAAATGTGCCCGAAACCGGTGTCCTCAACCTGAAAGTAGGAAAAATCGTCACCTCCGTCCCTGTATTGCAATCAACCAATTCTTTGACGGAGCCTCTTCCTGTTCCTGAGCCAATTGAGGAAGTGATGGCTATTTCTCCATTCGAGGCCCCAGAGTCTAATCTCGATGAATCCATCGAGGAATTCAATGAAGGGGTGGATGAATCTGGAGAAACGATTGATCTGCCAAAAATGGATCAGCCGTCATGAGCCCCAATTGAGCTAAAGCCCTTACCTTCAGGCCTATGCTATGCATTTCTGAACAGTGATGCAGAGTCTCCAGTCATTATAAGTGACAAACTCTCTGAGAGGGAGACGACCCGACTTATCGCTGTTTTAGAAAAGCATCGTGTTGCTTTTAGCTATTCCCTCCAAGACTTAAAAGGCATCAGTCCGACCCTTTGCACTCATCGCGTTCCCTTCGACCCGTCTTGTACACCATCTAGGGAACCTCAGAGGAGGCTAAACAATGCGATAAGGGAGGTCATCAAAAAGGAAGTCTTGAAACTCCTATATGCCGGGATTATCTATCCCGTGCCATATAGTGAGTGGGTTAGCCCTGTTCAGGTAGTGCCTAAGAAGGGAGGCATGACGGTCGTTGAAAACTCAAACAACGAGTTGATCCCACAACGAACCGTCACGGGATGGAGGATGTGTATTGACTATAGGAAACTCAACAAGGCTACTTAGAAGATCACTTTCCGCTGCCTTTCATTGATGAAATGCTTGAGCGGCTAGCGAACCATTCCTTCTTTTGTTTCCTTGATGGGTATTTTGGTTATCACCAAATCCCCATCCATCTCGATGATCAAAGATGCATGACGTCTATTTTCTCCGACATGATTGAGGATACCATGGAAGTCTTCATGGACAATTTTTCAGTCTATGGTAAAACTTTCGATCATTGTCTGGAGAACTTAGGGTCCTACAAGGATGTCAGGAAAAAGGACTTGGTACTTAATTGGGAAAAGTGCCACTTCATGGTTCGTGAAGGAATAGTCCTGAGACGTCAAATCTTCGAAAGGGGAGTTGAGGTGGACAGAGCAAAAATCGAAGTAATTCGATAGCTCCCACCTCCTGTCAATGTCAAGGGAGTCCGTAGCTTCTTGGGTCATGCGGGGTTTTATAGACGTTTCATAAAGGATTTCTCTAAAATCGCTAGACCCCTAACTGCCTTGCTAGCTAAGGATGCTCTGTTTGACTTTGATGATAAGTGTCTAAAATCCTTTAAAATCTTTAAGGAATCACTCATCTCAGCACCAATCATCCAACCCCCTGATTGGTCGCTGCCGTTTGAAATCATGTGCAATGCTAGTGATTTTACTGTGGGAGCTGTTCTTGGGCAAACCAAGGATAGAAAGCACCATGCTATCGCATACTTGCATCAAAGGATGTTACATTCAGTTGAGCAAAATGATGATCGTGTCCTAGACTTTTGGAAGTTGATAATTGTAGCTGACATAAGCTAATTCTAGACTTGATGGTGTAAATTAAATAGCTCATTACTTCCCTACCAGTGTGGGAAACACAGTAAGGCTGTGTTTGGCACCATGTTTTCCCAACTCTCCCCTCTTGTTTTCCGCGCGCACGCTTTTCAAACTGCTAAATGGTACCTTTTTTTTGTAAAAAGTTTCTATACAAAAGTTGCTTAAAAAAATCATATTGATCCATTTTTGAAAAAAATAGCTAATACTTAATTAATCACGCGCTAATGGACCATTTCGTTTTCCGTGCGTACTATTCTTGTTGCGAATGGGCTGGAACGAACACAGCCTTACTCGGTATGATATCATTTGTTTGACTCATGAGTATGGGCTCCATCGCATTCCTTACTAAATGATATATAGTGTGTTTAGTTCATACTAAAATTGGAAGTTTGGTTGAAATTGGAACGATGTGACGGAAAAGTTGGAAGTTTGTGTGTGTAGGAAAGTTTTGATGTGATGAAAAAGTTGGAAGTTTGAAGAAAAAGTTGGGAACTAAACCAGGCCATAGTTATTCCAGCACATCTTTCTTTAAGAAAAGATACACAATAGTCCTCACTTGCTACCAGTGTCGGTGCTCTAAAACATTTCCTTTTTTAGATTTTGGCTATGATTTTAAGCAATTTCTGTAGGCTAGGGAGGCTCTTACAAAAATAAATCCGGATTTTTTCCATAGTCAGGTTAAGCCTAGGCGCTCGATGCTTCTTCAGGAGTTGATGCTACCTCAAGTGCTTAATTAACGGAACCAACAACTTTTTGATTCTACCAATCTGCATGGCTGCCGATTTAGGAGGACAACTCCCTGCATGAATCAGATTGGAAGCAGTTCTGAGCACCTTGCATTGCAGGGCACAATTCACAAGGGACTTGATTATTTTCTCTTCCAAAGCACCTCGTCAGGCATTCTGCATCGAAGATGCCCTAATGGGACTGCCTTTTAACCATATCTACTCTAGATATCCCAGTATTGCATTCTAATTAACATGATCAACTAGCTCAAAGTATTTTTGCCTTGTCCGCAGAATTGGTTCTATACCATCCAAAGTTGGTTTTGTAGCCTCTACCATGCTCTGCTCTGCTTTTCACTGAAGGGAAGAGTAATATGGTGAGGGGTGACAGCTAACTAAATTGAATGGATTCCTACAAATCAGAATGGCAACTTTCAGTACTATTGAAGTGAACTGAAATCTTTTGGTGCTATAGATCTAAAAAGGGAATATCTTAAACATGGCAGGAACTGTAGACTAGCAAAAATTTATTAAAAAAGTGGTGATCACTCGCATGGGTCCTATGACTTGAACCTAGGTGGTAAGGGATGTTGAACAGCATTGCCAATGCCCTCCATCAAGCCTCAGGCATCAACATGGAGTATATCTCAGGCAAATGTTTGTTTTGAGTAGTCTAATCCTGCAAATGTGAGAGAAATCCTTTTGGTAGTTTTGCCAATTTTATCAGGGTAATTGAGATGATCCCAATCCTAGGAATATGAGCAATATCTGCTATGGTTAGTGTAAGCTGCTGCTTTTTTCCATAAGTCTTGTTTCTGGAACTCCATCCTTTAGACCATAACACCTTGAAAAGTAACCAGCTAAATAACAATATGAAAAGTCTCTGAGATCAGTGAGCCTTTGAGTGGTCTTTTAGCATAAAGTTGTGAGGTCGTGACAGATTCCAAGTTTGAGTTGTCACTGATACTATTTGATTCAGGTAACGTTTGAAATTTATAGCACATTACTGCTGATTCCCAATGTACAGCCAATCTCACGTACCTGGCAAAGTAATATTTTCAAATATTTCCTGATCCCTAGTTATTTTGCATGTAAAAAATAATTTTTTTAGTGCAGTATAACCTGTAGTAAGTGGGATGAAATTCTTCCAATTAGCCTGTAAATGTGTTTGTGCTGTCCTGAATGCCAACTCACCTAGTGATACTGAAGTTATCTTCCCTTCTATTGTTATAACAATGAGCGATTATTTCTTGTTAGTAAATGTTTGAAGCCATGGCAATTAAGCTCAATTTTGATTTCTCTGCCACCTTTTTATTTACTTATGCTAAATATTTGTTGTTACATTTGCCAATAAAGATATGTGAATGTATTGGCTTACAGATGTTACCATGTTTCTTTGCACAGGGGAACTTTGAAATGTCCCATCAACAAGCCTTGGCACAAGTAACAGCAGAAGCAGTCCATTCTCCGTACAGTATGATTAATCAATCAGATTTCTCACTCCCGTTCTCGTCGACAACGACTTCAGTGTTGGCATCACAACATGTCAACTCTTCTGCCAATGTGTCATCACCACGAGAAATACCAACTCTGCCATCCCACACAGATAATAGCAACATTGAATCAACTGAGGTTTCACATGGATTCCAAACTACTGCCCTCACTGAGGATAAACCTGCTGATGATGGCTACAACTGGCGGAAGTATGGCCAGAAGGCAGTTAAGGGTGGGGAGTATCCAAGGAGCTATTATAAATGTACCCATTTAAGCTGTCCAGTTAAGAAGAAAGTGGAGCGCTCATCTGACGGACAGATTACTCAAATACTTTATAGAGGCCAGCATAACCACCAACGACCACCAAAAAGAAGGTCCAAAGATGGTGGCGCTTTACTAAATGAAGCAGATGTTTCCCCTGAGAAGGAAGATGCATCAACTAGATCAGAACAGGGCTCCCAAGATTATTCTGGAAAATTCAAGGCATCAAATGATGGTGGTCCTTCATCATCCAGGAGGGGAGATAGGGGTGAGCAAATATCGGGCTCAAGTGATAGCAACGATCAAGGCGAGGAAGAAGTGAAGGTTGAGGGTAGAGCTACTAGTGATGGAAATGCGAACAAAAGGTGGTCTACAAAACATTTTTGTTTTACTTGGACATTTTCTGAGCTTCAATATATAAATGCTAGTTTCTATTGGACAGACATGTGCCAGCTCCAGCTCAAAGAATCATTGTGCAAACAACTAGTGAGGTTGATCTTTTGGATGATGGCTACCGATGGCGCAAGTATGGTCAAAAAGTAGTAAAAGGGAATCCTCACCCAAGGTAATTCTGTTTTTTAAATTGCACTTACTTGTTCCCGATGTTCTGCCATGTTTTTTCATTATATTGGAGCAACTCTGAATAGCTCAATGCAATCACTTTATTTTTTTTTGGTACAGAGCCCCATGCTATCTTGGACCCATTAATTATTCCAAAATGGGCGATCCATTTTATGCCACCACGTTCCATCAAATGTCTAGTGCCATGATGTCTCACTGGAATGTGGGTCTTGTGTTACAAGTAATAGATGTGGATGAAACTCAGTGGCATAATATGGCCTTATGATTAGAACTTGCTACTTTTATAGTTGTAGAAACATGGTGTACGAATCATTCCTTGCACTTGTTCCTGAAATATTATTGACGTGGCTGATGAATGCTGTGTGTTATTGGAGTCTGATTTGTTGTGGGGCTTCATTAAAGGATTTTCATGAGTAGAGCTGGGAGAATAGCCTTGGCTGACGGGATGATGAGGGTGAAGTGTGCCTCGTCGCTGTGTTGACAGAATGAGGGAGGGAGATTTTGGACCTTTTGGTATTTTATGCTCGCTTTACTCATATTTAGCCAAAGTCCATATATAGGAGAGGCCCACAACCAAAGGTCCTAAATTTATGGGAACATACTAATGAAGGAAATAAAGCAACAAAATAAAGAAATAGCTAATTAGGAAACATTTCTCTAAAACTTGTAGGCGTATTGTGGTGGCTGGCAGTAGAGCCAGCAATTTTACCCTGTGGGGTCCATTATCATTGCTTGATATTTTAGTGGGGCCATTTATGCAAAATTCAGTGGATTTACATGGAAAAATTAGTACCCATAAGGGTGTTAGTGAAAAAGCTGTGGGGTCAGCTGATCCCACAGTTTGTACATGGCTCCGCCACTGGCTGGTGCACTTGTAGCCCTGTGTTGGTGGGCTGTAGGTGCGCCTCCACATGATATATCCCCTCTCTGAAAGCAGCTTGTCCTCATACTGAATTGGGGAAGCACTTGATGAAGTTGTTTTGAGATCCTTGACGTATTGGCAGCTAGAGAGTTCAGCCAATGGACAAAGGGCTCGAGAGGATCACGGGCATGACGGGGCTTTGAGCAATTTGATGAGGGTATCTGGCAAACTTGTTGACACTCCAGTGGGAGTGAGGGAATTGCAGCCTTCTCTCCATGGAAGGGTTTCAGTACCCACGTGAAAGATATGTCTAGGACTCTCTTGTGTACTTCAATATAATTGGGCCTTGAACTTCCTATATACTACCTCTGTCCTAAAATATACTTCCTCCGTTTCACAATGTAAGTCATTCTAGCATTTCCCACATTCATATTGATGTTAATGAATCTAGATAGATATATGTCTAGATCTATTAACATAAATATGAATGTGGAAAATGCTAGAATGACTTACATTGTAGAACGGATGATGTAGTAGATTTTGCCCATGCAACTACATGGGCAAAATCCCTTATAGTTTGGAATTGAGGCAGTAGTACTTTCTTGCTTTATTAATCTTTAGCTAAGTCTGTATATAGGAGAGGCCCACAAGCAGAGGAAATATATGAATAAAATCAGGAAATTTTTAATCAGGACATTTCCTATACTTGGGGCCTTACTTATACCATAGAAAGTTGACTATATTTGAAAATTGTTCCAAATTATTTTTTCCAGTCAGAAATATAGATCAAAAGTTCCTGAAAAAACTAGGTTAAACTAGACTGGAATTAACCTATGAAGCTTTAAAGAACTTTCTTGAACTACTTGAACGAAAACCCTCAATATGAAACCATAGATTAAAGCTAGAACTGAGCAAACACAAGGAACATCGAGAAAAAAAAAAAACGTGTTGCATTAGGCGACTAATTCTCAATGTTTTTTTTCTATACATATTTGGGGGAAAAAATACTTCAAATCCAACTCAAGATTCTCCAAATGTAGTTTAATTTGGATGTTGTCTAGTTGTACTAAACAAAATCAGGTGTGGACTTTTTTTTTAATGCATAAGTGGGACTTAGCAAAACCAGGTTATGGACTAACCTTGGCATAATTGTGGCTGTAGCCACCTCTGAACAAGCTTTGATCCTATCCGCTTTAGCTGGTCATTATATATGATTTAGAAGGTTAACTGACATGCACTTGAGCTTTTTCTGTTTTATGACTCTGTACATGTTTGTCATATTATGATTTGTCCTTTATTAAGTTACCCTGTTGAAGAACATTTAAGTTCGGGATGGCTCTTTTTGGACAGGTTTACAGCTGTTTTGAAATGATATTTATCTAAAGTTTTAACTATTTAGTCATCAGGTCCATTTGGTGCTATTGATATCTCCCTTTATCTCTGGCAATCTATCTAAACTGATTACTTGCCGCTTATCTACTTCTTTTTAACTTTGTAGGAGTTACTACAAATGCACGTACCAAGGATGTGATGTGAAGAAGCATATTGAGAGATCCTCACAAGACCCAAAGGCTGTGATAACTACATATGAAGGCAAGCACAGCCATGACGTGCCAGCAGCCAGGAACAGTAGCCATTCTTCCGCTAATGCCAACGTATCGTCTTCCAGCAATTTACCTCACAAGGACAGGGGGCAACGGTCGTCGTGCAGAGATGGTTTGCGGAATGCATCTTCAGTTTCTTCCTTACAGTTAAAAGAAGAGAGTGGATAGCATGAAATTTTGGTAGTGTTTAGCTGGGTAAATTGTTCTGTTCTTCAGTCCAATCTGGGTGTGCTGCTTCCAAGCGCCGCTGAGCAGCGTGTATTGGCTTTGTAGGTTGGTTCTTGCATTGGTTTAGTTAGGGCTTAGGGGCTCGTTTGGTATGCGGGAATATGCTCATATTCCTCTGGAAATCGAACCGTTTCATGTGAAACTAAAATTCATGCCTTCCAAACAGGGCCTTAGCAAGAGGAAACCCAGCATAGCATCCTTCCAATATCTCGCACGTTGTGCTTCCAATGGCTGTAAATGATATAGGTCCTGCCCGATAGAGAATTATGGGCGACAGAGGTTTCTTTGGCGCAACTGTAAATGCTTGGCATGTAAGTCTCATCTGATGGCTGCTGACTCCACCTCCAAGTTCTTGCGGCTTATTTCATCATCCTTGGCCCGAAGACGGCTTTTAAAACCGTCAAAACGGGCCCGCACGGTTCGCTCCGTCGAACAGTGAGCCGCAAGAATCTAGATGAAAGATAGGAGCGGGCGAAAAGAGCAAAAGGTTAATTGCGAAACGTAAAAAAAAGGGAAGAGGAAAATGAAGAAGGAAGAAAAGGCATACCCGAACCGCCAAACTTTTAATGGTGGAACACCCCTCGTCGAACTCATTAAGTTCGGTGAATATGCTCGGGGTGCCGGTGGGCAAGACAAGATTGCTTACTCCCTCCACAAAGGGAATAAGGTCCGCCCGGGTCTCGAAGTCACCAGGGGCGAAGTGGGGCGTCGCAAGGGAATACTCCGAGGTAGATGCTTCGGTGGCCGCACACTTCCCCTTCGTCTTGACCAGCGGCGAAATTGCTGGCTCGCACGCAGGGCTCCCGAAAACCCTCGCCGCAGCCGACACGATCCGATCGACGGAGGCGGAAGCCCCGGTGGCGGCGCTACCGCCTGCCCCAGCAACCCCGAGCGGAGCAAGGGGAGCAGTCGAAAAGTCCAAACTACGGCCAGCAGGTGAAGTCGGAGTCTCGTCAGAAGACTCGTCGTCGCTAAAAACGCGAGCGATGTCGACGAGTCCCTTCTTTTTTGAGATCTTCTTGACCAGACCTCCTTTCGCCGCCTTGCCCGACGAGAACGCAACTAGGGCCTTCGCCCCTTCCAAATCCTTTCGTCGAAGGGGGGAGCTGTTCGACTCCACCCCGGTCTCGTTGTGACGTGGACTTGGGGTAGGAGTGTAGCCGGGGGTGTCGACGCGGTCTTCGATCACCTCGTTCGCAGCCTTATCAGCCACAGCCTCCACCTCCTCTTCTTCCTCTCCTTCGTCCTTGCCGTCACGTTCTTCGGCATCATCCTCGTCGTCGGCGTCGGAGTCCAACGAAGCAGGAACCCTTCGCTTCCTGGGGGCAAGCTTCACTTATCCACGCATCCGCTTTCGCGAAGGTCCTGCATCGTCGTCGGCTTTTTGGGGATTCGCCCGGGGAGGCAGTTCGCCGTTGTAAACCCGGTTCGCCCGCCCAGCCGCTTGTCGTGTTAGCAGCTGGCTATACTCGACGACCGAAACGTCACCGATCATCCTGCGGGCTTCGGCTTCAGCCTGGTCGAGGGTCGATACTGCAAAAGTAAAGGGTGTAGCTGCGTTAAAGGTCAGACAAGGCAAAATAACAAAGCACAGGAGTGTATAGCAAAAGAACGGTCTTACTGTTCGTCCCCTCAGGAAGAACCAAGTTCGGCAAACCGTCAGCCTCTTCGCATTGCTCGACTGTGACTTGCCATGACTGGGAGAGGGGAAAGATGCGAAGCAAACAGAACTCCTCCACCAAGTCAGGGCTTTTGCCGAGTCAGAACCACCTGCGAAGGGGATGGTGTGATAGAACCACCTCGCCATCCAATGGCGGTCCCACTTCGACATGGCAGCGTTCACCGGCCAGAGATCGGACCGCTCGAGGCGAACGTTAAAGTTCATGCTCCCGAACACTGTCTTCTTCGTTCCAGCCGGGGTAATCACCATCTTCGAGTTCACGGTGGCGAAAAATATGGCACCGAAGAGCTCAGCGCTGGGCTCAAACCCGGAAGTCCGGCATGCCCAGTCAAAGATGGAGATCCGAACTAGCGGCGATGGGCTCAACTGCGGAAGCTCCACCTGGAAAAGGCGAAGGATATCCGGCAACAACACGTTGCACGGAAACCGTAGCCCCACCTCAAAAAAGACGGCAAACACCACCGTCCGATTGTCGACAGGCTTCGGCACCACGGCTTTCCCCGGGGCGAAAGCCTGCCCCTTAACCAACGCCCCAGAGCTGACCAACTTCGCCAGTTCGACGTCGTCCATGAGAGAAACCCCCAAAAAGGCGGTGCTGTCATCATCAACCCGACCGGGATCCGGTCCTTTTGCCGAAGCTAGGTTTGGCTTGCGAGGGGCCATGGCGAACGGCGTGTATGCGGTGGCGAAGGAAGAGAATGGGCGAAACACCTAAGGGGTCAAGAAATGCTGTGGAAGAGAGGAACGGAAGAAGAGAGCGCACGCGGTAAAAATGGCAAGTGTACCGGTGAAAAGGAAAGAGGGGTGGGAATATATAGCTCACCCAGGCGACCGTTCGTCTACTCACCAGTAATAAAGCGCCACGTGTCGCAAGGGTAGGCGAAACGGTAAATTCCCACCGTCTGAGCGGCACAGTAAAAAGCCTACGATGGGAAGGCCCAATACTGTTCCGTTCGGCCCAGGAAAATAAAATATATAACCACCAATCGCACGAGGCGAAGCGCGGCAAAATAATACCAGCCGCACAAGTAACAAACTTCATTCGCAGGAATAATGTAGGTTTCGGCAGGAGCATCGGTCGAAAGGGGGCGCCGCATACCAGACCACATGGTTTGCATGGTCTCGGCCGAAGCTCCAATCTCACCCGTGCCCATGAGGGGCTTGTTGGCGGATGGCATGAGGCCCTTCGACCAAGTCTGCCCAAACCCGTGGCGAAGGCTATGGAGCAAGAACGACGTGAGGCGAAGAGTAGTACGAGTGCCTTGCCGGGCCAGAGGCGTCTCAGGCGAAGGGTGCAAGGCGAAGACTATCCGCCGAAGGAAGACGACTTCGCCATGACAAGTTCGCTCCCGCGAGGGCCGAAGAAGCCTTTCCGGCCCATCAAGCCTAGGGGCTATAGGGCCGGCGATCGCCTGACGGCCCATCAGGGGCCTATGAGCCCCTATAACATTATGTACCCCTGTAAATGTCCCTTTCGTAAGGGTAATCATGTAAATTCCCCTGTACAACCTAAACCCTAGTAGTAGGATCCTGTAATGGGGCTATAAATAGTCCCCTAGGGCCATGTAATGGGGGGATCGAAAAGAAAAGAATTTAGAAATTTAATACACTTCGTTTCCTTCCAACCACTGTTGAGTAACCACGTCTTTCGACGTACGCAGTTGTCATTTCGACAACATAGGTCATCACAAGATCTGATCCCCCCTCACAAGTGTCGAAACGGCAAAAGAAGATGTAGCTTCAGGCCGTGCACAACATTGTCTCAGCAGGTGATAGCGTTCCAAGATACTTGTCACAGCCAATATCTTTTGGACCAGAACATGCCGAAGGAGTTCTATTCCTGCACCAGGACCCGTTGGTCGTTTCAGCAGAAATAGCCGGTTTTGAAGTCCGGCGCATCCTGATCGATGGAGGAAGTTCGGCTGATGTTATGTTTGCTGGAACATATGCCAAGATGGGTTTGCCAACCCTGGCACTGTCTCAAGCACCGACTTCACTCAGTGGTTTCAGCGGCGAAGCAGTGCAAGTTCTGGGACAAGCCCTCATCAAGGTTGCTTTCGGCTCACAAGAAAACAGAAGAGAAGAAGAGATACTGTAACACCCTGAAAATTCGACCGACAAAATCAAAACTCTAAAAATACGGATTTTCAAAAACTTTTTAAATTAAATGCATCATGCCGATCTTATTCGCCTATTTTATTTGGATTTAATTTCGAAGTTCATTAATCGTGAGTAAAGAATAGTTAATTAGGAATAAACCCTAAAAACAAATTGATAAAATAAATATAATTTAAAATAAAGATTAGGTGTGGATAGAAATAAAATATTATCGCGACCATATTTGGATCAATTGAATTTAAATGCGATGGAATAAGAATTAACCCTAATTAAAAATTCAAATAAATTATATAAATAAAATATGAGTAATATTAATCTAGAGTAAATCCATTGGTTGGAATGACACAAATATTGAGTAAACTTCATTTATACAAGATTTAGGATTTATAGAATCAAATTTAAATAATAAATAGGCTAAAATCGGGTTAAATAAGAAAAGTCACTATTCATTGCCCCCTAGGTGTTCGATCGCGCCCTAGCCCCTCCTCTGCCACGCTGCCCTTGCGCCCCGCACGCCGCGCGCCGCTCCGCCTCCCCTCTGCTGTCGCCATCGCCATCACCGCGCATGCCGTCGTCGCCTCGCGCCTCGTGCCGCCGCCCGCCCGTCGCCATCGCCGCCTGCCGCCGCGCCGACGTCGCCGTGCCGTCCTGAGCCCGCGCCGACATCGCCACCCCCGTGCTGCGCGTGCTGCCGTCCCGTCGCCACGTCGCCTCGAGCCCCACGCAGCCGTCCCGTCGCCGTCAAGCCCGCGCCGCGCCGCGCCGCGCTGTCCTACCGCCGCTGCTGTGCTGTCGCCGTCGCCGTCGCTGTTGCGTCCCGCCTCGCGCCGCGCGTGCGTCCCATCGCCGCCTCGCGCCGCGCGCCCCCACTGCCGCGCCGTCGCTGTCGCCATCCCGTCGCCGCCGTCGCGTCACCCGCCCCCTCTCTTCCCTCTTCCCCTTACTCCTCCCCCTCTCCCCTATAAAAGCTCCACCGTTCTCCCCTCTCCTCACTCCATCTCCCCCTCCTCTCCCTCTTCCCCTTCTCCACGCGCCGCCATCGTCGAGCCGCCGCGTCGCCGCCTTCGAGCCACCGCGCCGCCGCCCTCGTGCTGTCGTGCCACCGCATTCGTGCCGCCGCGCCGCCGTCTCAGGGTGCCGTGCCGTGCGCCGTCGTCGCTGCCGCCGTCGGTGAGCCGCTGCCCCCCCCTGTTTGTTGCCGTGCCGCCGGGTAGAGAGGGAGCCGAGAGAGAGAGGAAGGGAGAAGCCGAGGGCGAGAAAGAAGAAGGAAGGAGGAGAGAAACCGGGAGGGAGAGAGAGAGAGAAAGAAAAAGAAAAGAAAAGAGAGAGAGAAAGAAAAAAAGAAAAGAAAAGAGAGAGAGAAGGAAAAAGAAAAGAAAAGATAGAGAAGGAAAAAGAAGAGAGAGATAAGATAAAAAAAATAAATAGAAATTAGAGGGAGATTAGGGAAGTTTAGAAAATTTAAAATAATTAGAATTTAATTATAGATTAATTATAGTCGTAGAATTGCAAAATTTAATATAAA